TGATGTCGGAGGCCTTTATTTCGCTGCCGGAAAGAGCTGTCTTTCTTTGAGATTTCGGAGTAGTAATAGTAGAGTAGTGCTAATTTTTGTCCTATTCCTCTAATTACTGCGTATAGATGACAACTCAAATCATGTTCAACTGTGAAACAAGATTAGCGATAGATGATTGTTGAGAGGCCTTTCAGCAGAGCTGTGTCTTCCACACAATACAGTCGTGATCCTTAAAAACGATAAAGCGTAGGACGGCGGCGTTCTTGGAGCGCAGCCAAATTACATTTCTCACCAATTGTAGCGAGCTCAAGACAACGCTGCTCAGCGCCGCGTCGCACGCCCAGTCATTCGTAAGGACCATTACAGTACATTATCACGAAGGGAAAGGATCACCGTTCGGTTTTAGGTTGAATGTATAGCGAACGACGGCAGTCTTGGCTCACAAATTTGCCCCACAGACATTCGACTGGATCCAGCTTACTATGCAATTTATTATACCTACATGTATACTACATTCCTGGCCATTGGCCCCCTGACGCTATTGGTTCTTCTTAACATCTGTGTCGTCTTCACAGTCCTCACCAATAGAACCCCTGAAAGCGGTGAGATTATGAGTTTTTATTGCAAGAAGACAGTAATTCATTACTCACGCATTTTAGACGACTCTGATACTATAAGCCTGATCTTAGTAGTATTCTTCTTCATATTTTGCAACTTTACTGCGTTACTCGTCAACTTCATGGAGATAATTCTTAATAATCCCGTAGGTTCCATAACATACATGTCTGAGCTAATAATTAGCAGCGGAGAACTTCCAGAATATTCTGGTCTACTTTGTGGACTTATCTAATTTATTAGTCGTCATTAACGGGACAGCAAACTTCTTTTGCTATTTGATATTTGGTGCCAGTTTCCGACTAACACTCAAAAAGGTATGGATATTCAAGAGATACCTCTATTATGAGTTGATTTGTAATGCATGCGTTTTAGATTTTGTGCAGCTTCCGTAAGGAGAAACCAAAGATGATTTGGACGATAAATGGGGATGAGAAGATTCCTTCCGCCAATCACACTCTTCTCTGAAGGTAGATTTTTTTCAGTTAGCCTGCTATGCGAAATAGATCAAAATTGTATCGCCTTCTTCACCCTGGAAAGTGGGAAGAACTCTGAGAATGGTGTCACGTTAGCTATTGAAACTAACCCACAATAGTGCCGATCCAGGAAGTGTGTAGCAGTATTGCGGTTTGAATGAAACAAGTCTCAATACCACTGCTCTATCCTTCTCCGGAGGGGTGATTATGTACACGGCACACCCCTGAGATGGAGGAGACGCGGCTGCATACTTTACACGAACATGACGTAGGATGCGTTGTTCGTGAAATATTTCCAATTGATGCAGGTATCGTCCTATCCTGTAGAAGTAGTCATTGATGGAACTGTTATGATGCTGCACATCCCTCCACAATCGCATCTGCCGCCACTTAGATAAAGTACGCCACCGCGAATATTCCATCTCCATCTTGCAGGAGATATACCCGCTGACTCTTTCGAAAGAGGGCCGGTCGGATCGCCCGTCATCGCCGGGCGATCCCTGTGCTTGTGCAGTGGGTACGGGTGATCCTCCTTGTGAGTTGTGCAGCTGGGTACGGCGATCCTCCCTCCGCGGGTATTCGTCCTGAGTAGGTATCCGTCCTGACCGTTTTAAAAGGAGGCCAGGACCAAAAGAGGACTTTGCTTGGTCGAGATCACCGTTTTCAATTTTTTTCGAAAATTATTAAACTTCACCGTTTCAGGTGGTGAAGTCCGCTCCTTCATATAGTGCCACTGGGAACTGCTAGCTGTCAATGAGGTGAGCTGATCGCGGAGATCCGAACGCAGGTGACTGGCCTTCGTGACGGGCCGACCTACCCAAACCACATCACTCATGTTCGACTATGCCACACCAGTGCGCAGGAGCCGACCCGCGCTCGCAAGGCTCGGCGAGTGTGAAAAGTACGTGAGAGTCGATGCAAAGACGGCAGCACTAAGCTAGTCCAAAAAGCTCGCAGCGCATGTAGGATCCATATTGCAATGTTAAATGTTGGAACGTTGACAGGACGCTCATGTGAACTGGCAAGGGCAATGGAGCGCAGACGAGTAGATCTCTGCGCAGGAAACAAGATGGTCCAGTTGTAACTCGAGAGAGATTGGGCATGGCTTTGAAGCCATTCTTTGTGGCGAGCTATAGACTACCAACGGTGTTGCCGTAATCGTCTCTCGACGTCTCCGTGGATCGATAGGTAGCGTCGAGCTTCTCGACAGCTGAAGATTGTTCAAGCTGTCGAGCAATGACTGTACCTTTTGTTTTCTACGTATTTCTACGCAAACAGGATGCCTTGAGAAGTCATTGGACGAGTTCTAGTCTCTGCTTGTGGAGAAGACAGCTGAAATACCGTTGGAAGACCTCGTCTATCGCTGGTGACCTGAACGATGACGTTGGCCCTACAAAAGAAGGTTACAGTTGTCACGATAGTTTCGGTTATGGAACACGTAATCTCGATGGCGATCGCATCCTTCTGGATTATGCAGAAGCCCGTAATCGCCATCGTGATCACAAAATTCCGTGAACGTGATTCATACCTGATCAGCTTCTACAGCGGAAGTGCCAGAACACAGATGGGCTTGGTTCTTGTCAGGTATCGCGATCAGGGGCTTATCACAGACGCGAAAGCCGTGCACGAGACAGTTGCCACGCAACATCCGTTGATTTGTACGGTGAAGATCGCACTGCCCAGATCAAAATAGGTTGAGCATGTGGTTCCGAGAGAATAAAGTGGTGGCACTTGAATGAAAATAAGGCAGGTGTGATCGCTCGTATTTGGTTACCTACCGTCAATGTCGGCTGATCGTGGATGCTGCCAAATCGATAACTCACGCGACTCGCTCCGAACTCGGCACTACGAAGCCTGGAAGACGTAGAATTGACAAGCAGGCATGGTTGTGGACAGACATCGTCAGACTAAATTCTCGCAAGAAGAAGAGAGGCGCTCTCACTTGTCTCTCAGAGACAAGTCAGCTGAAACTGGCGAATATATCAGGATGTGGAGTAGTTCTTGGGCCTCAACGACGAGAAGATGGACAAAAAGGTGCTGAGGCGATGACGCGACTACGCTGAGGAAATTTTCGCAGTAGAATATTCACACACAGCCCTACCTCGTGCCTCACCGATACATGGTCTCGTTCACAATATAAGCGTGAAGTAAGCAGAAGCGACTTTCAAGGACATGAAGCCAGGCAAAGCAACAGACCCTGACGACGTGGCGGCCGAAATATGAAAGTCACACTGCCATATTTTGCTGAAGTGTTGACAAAGTTCCTCGATCAGGTCGTCGTTGCAGAGAAGAATTAAAATATCGTGCAATTCGCCTGCTCTCGCACACCATAAAAATTTAGGAAATTGTTGACATTCGCATCCGTAATATCGCCCAGCTCTCTACCAACCAGAGTGGAAGGGCTGTGGCACCATCGATGCCATAAATGCCGCGCCTCTTTTGCCGGAGAGGCATCGTGAAAATAGAAGCACGTTCATCTAGCCTTCCTTGACTTGGAAAAGGCATTCGATCGTGCTCCCCGTGAAGTTTTATGGTACCCCTTACGACAGCACGGCGTTTCCGAAGAGCTGATCGAGTGGGTGCGCGTCCTGTAATCCAGCTAACGAGTATCGCGAGAACCTCAGCAATCATTTCGATGGAGTTCCCCATCACAGTGGGGGTGACCAAGGTTTTGCGCTCTCCCCGCTCCTCTTCGTTGCCGTCTTGGATGCATTTCAGAGACCTTCAAAGTCGCCTCCATGAACGCTTTTGTACGCTGACGATGTGATGCTCCCCTGCGACGACAATAATACCTCAAGTGACAGGTGCAAACCTGATCGGCGCTCGGCGAACTTCGGGCTCAGATTCAATGTCAAGAAAACCGAGTACCTGACAAGCTACTCAAGTGAGTCCGCCTCCTTCAAGATAAGTGGCTGTAAGCTGACGCGTACGACGACATTTAGACAGCTCGGATCTATAATTTCGTCTGATGGCAATCCGGACACGGAAGTGAGTGCGCTGTGAATGCGGCCTGTTCTGAATGGCGCTCGGTGACTGTCGTTTTCTGCGATACGAAGCGCCAGCGAAATATGCTGTTCGACTGGTCGCAAATATTGGTGCTGAATGCTGGCCTACAAGGAAGTTGAGGCCCGCTTCCGAGCGATCTAGATGAAAACACTGCGCTGGATGGCCGGCGTCACAAGTATAGATCGCTTCCGCACTGACGACATTGACGACAGAGATTGACGTTGCTCCAGTAGCCGAGAGAGAGTGCGAATCTCGCCTCCTGTATGGTCACAAGCTGCGCACAAATTTTGATACAGTCCGTAAAACTGGTCTTGAGCTTGAGATACTCAAAAAACGACCTAGAAGACGCCCCGAAGCGATGGCTAGACCCGTTGCATGCGGACTGAGTTCTTGGCACCCCTCCCGACCAGGCATACAATCGAGAGAAGTATCGTAGAACAATAAAAGAGCGGTCTTCAGCTCAGAAAACGCTGAAGCATAAAAAAAGCCAAAATAGAAGTTCAGCAAATAAGCTCCTCTGCAATACCACTCGTGACAGGCAATCTTCCGAAATTTTTAGATACACTTCCTTCACTGAAGAGAATTCAGACGATATGAATCTGCTGTGCCGACATCTAACCCACACACCATTTCTACTTTATTGTAAAGAGCGTGGTCGAACATAAGCAACCCAGCGGACTCTGCACTCCTAAGTCCATCCTGATATTTCCGGAAGGCGTGCTGGTTTCGGCCATAACGCCCGTTCTATACGTAGGTCGTGGAAATAGGAAGTACAGTCGGCCGTGAGCAATATCAATATGAGTTGCACAGTAGATGAACACATTCCATTTTTATTACCTGCATCACAACGCCAACGATGAGCGATTAATTTGCCATTAACATGCAATCCACCTGCTAAGGTTGCATGAATGACTGCAGATGCCAATATTTGGGCTGCGTTCGTTGAATATCTTCACAAACTACTTCATCATTCGTTCTCATCAGTGGTTAAAAGTTGAAAAGCAAAAAATAGTCAAATATCACTGCGACGCATAATGCGTGCAATATTAGCTGTTCTGATTTCCAAACTTCCTGTTCAGCACGTACACATCTCCCCCCCCCGCTCCTCGACTTCAACATTATACACAGTAGGATAGTGGGATGTGTGGGATGTGGCTAATTTTCGTTCATTTTCTAGTGCTCTAGTGCTATCAGAGAAGTGATGGCTGGAGGGAAAGTTCGCTTACTGAGAGGCTTTTTTACTTGGCAGTGTAGTGGTCACAGATGTCGTGAGAATGTCCCCTTTCCTTTCTTATCAATTGGTAAGATTGCCATTCACCCGTCAATAGTGTCGCTATCACTAAAACTCTATAATTTGGTAGTGTAAAGGCTCCAGCATTTGACTGAACAACAACTGCAACGTCTTTATCAGGCCCTATCAGCTGTTATCACTTCCTCACCCGCCGTCGCCGTCTCCACCTTCCCCTTGATATCATTTGCTGAAATCAACGCCTAACTGATGCTGTGTCCCGCGTTATGAGTATGTTGACCTTTCCATTCTAACTTCCCCTTATCAAATCTTATCAGCAGCTAGCAGTTCTTGTCACCCACATATTCCTGTGCCATAACCTATATCATACCTTGGAACAAACGCCCCAGTGTTCCAGTCGGACCGCCCCTCTGCTTCCTTCCCTTGCACATGCTCAGATCGGGCTGAGCACGCGCAGGGGAAGGAAGCAGAGGGGGGGCCTCGGCACCCCCCCCCCTCGGCTCCACCCCACCCTGCCCCCGCACGAGCACACGTCCAGCTGCCACGCCAGCAGCTCGTGCAATGGCTCGGAGTGTACCGAATGGTTGTCTTATATAGCGGAGGCTGTTATCACAATCAAAACATTGGATTGATACTTCCGCACCGATCGGTTACCCTGTTTGCCTAGCTAGGGGAGTGTGGTAGTCAGTGTCGGAATTGCAGCGGATGGAATAAAATGGAAATATGCATCTACCAAA